AAAGAAAGAAAGAAAAAGAAAAGAAAGAAAGAAATGCTGATTGAGACCCAGTAAATTCAGTAAATTGATTTTCTAACCTAAATAACAAGGAATAGCTAACATCTGTTTGCAAAACACATTCCTAGTAAAATTTGAATGTTCCAATGGGCTGTGAATTGTTAAGAAGGTTAAAGGGCCCTAAAGGGTTAAAGTGAGGGACTGTGATCTAACCAAGCCACACTCCCATCAGGGGGATTATACGTCAATGGGTGATAACAAGACAGAGTTCTCTTTCCAGTCCTTAGAAAGAGAAGGAAGACAGCAATTAGGAAGAAAGAGAGTTATAGGAAGTGGTAGGAATTGAAGAGAACATAGAAAAGATCTTAACTCTACCTTATTAAAGTTTAATTATCCAATTACAAAATAGATGTTTTATTTCCCAAACTGGCATTTTGGTTTCTGATAGCACCACACACACACACACACACACACACACACACACACACACACACTGTCTCTCTCTCTCTCTCTCTTTCTCTCTCTCTCTCTTTCTCTCTTAAATTTTGCAGCTCTTTTCAGAATTTTCTGTATGGACCCTGATAAACATATGTAATATATTTTTAAAATTTGATTAATGGAAGGATTAAGACTTGGGGGCCTAATAAACAATTAAAAGCCAACCTGATCATATATTTGCATTTTATAGGTGCTGCTTTAAATTCTAATTTCTAATATTTTTCTTTCAAGGAAGCTTACAAGTTCGCTATCAGTTGAGCAAGGAAGAATCCCATATATTCACCATTGATGCGGAGAACTTTGCCAACAGGAGGATGCACCACTTGAAGATTAACCGAGAGGGAAGAGAGCTTACCATTCAGGTACCATCCTTACTTTCTCCCACTCAGCCAGTGTGCCTTGGCTACTCTATCAAACTTTTCTAAGCTTCTCCCCATGTCAGTGTAGTGCCTAGTGCTGGAAAGAGAGTTACAGATCACACTTGTCCACAGACTTGGAAGAACTAGGATCATGGTTCTCAAGATGTGCTTCCCATGTCCCACCAGCATCAGCATCACGTGGGACCCTATTAGAAATGCACATTCTTGGTCCATGCTCAGTGGCTCACACCTGTAATCTCAGCACTTTGGGAGGCTGAGACAGGTGGATCACAAGATCAGGAGTTCAAGACCAGTCTGACCAACATTGTGAAACCCCGTCTCTACTAAAAACACAAAAATTAGCCAGGTATGGTGGTGCTCACCTGTAGTCCCATCTACTCAGGAGGCTCATGCAAGAGAATTGCTTGAAAGCAGGAGGCGGGGGTTGCAGTGGGCCAAGATCATGCCATTGTACTCCAGCCTGGTTGACAGAGTGAGACTCCATCTCAAGAAAAAAAAAAAAAAGAGAAATGCAGATTCTCGGCCAGGTGTGGTGGCTCATGCCTGCAATCCCAGCACTTTGGAAGGCTGAGGTGGGCAGATCACCTGATATCAGGAGTCGAAGACCAGCCTGGCCAACATGGCAAGACCCCTTCTCTGTGAAAACTACAATATATCCAGGTGTGGTGGTGTATGCCTGTAATCCCAATAACTCAGGAGGCTGAGGTAGGAGAATCACTTGAACCTGGGAGGCGAAGGTTGCAGTGGGCAGAGATAGTGCCACTGCATTCCAGCCTGGGAGGCAGGGCAACTCCATCTCAAAAAAAAGAAAGAAAAGAAAAGAAATGGAGATTGGTGATTTCCACACCACATCTACTAAATCAGAGTCTACGGAAGAGGGGAAAGCAGCAGGTGATACTAGTGTCTGCTCCAGTTTGCCAACCCCTGGGCTGCATTAAAGTGAGGAAGACACACAAGAAAAGAGGAAATCACAATAGGCTGTGGGAAGGGCTGTGGCAGCATCATCCACAGATGATACTGAAGAGGGTACTGATCACACCCTGGCATCAGTACTTACTTCCTGGAGGAAGTGAGAAGTAAGCTGAGTCTTGAAGATGAATAGGAGTTGGCCACATGCAAGAGGAGAGAGTTCAAGATGAGCGTCCGTGTGGGCGCAGGCTAAAGCTATCTGAAAGCATTTCTGTGGGAGGCACCCCATGAGATCTCAGTGGGCTCCATATAAAGGGCCAGCAGCAGATGATGGCAGATCCCAACAGAGAATAGGCAGAGTCCAGATCATCCCCTTTAGAGCCATCACCCCCAGCAAGCACTTGCATCTGCCCAGCAATCACTCCATGTTTTTTAATTTTTCTGTTCTCCTAGTGGACCATTTTATACTTTCTTCTCTTTACTTATCCTGCTAACAATTGCCAGTTCGTCTTCACTCTCAGTGGATGACTTTGCTCTCTTACTTCTTGTAAAAAATATAACGTTCAGAAGAGACTATCCACACATTCTTAAAAGCACATTACCTACCTGCCACATCTGTGTTTGCAATCTCTTTCCCACCTGGATAGTTCATGGTTCTAGCTAAGGTCCGACTTTACTACCTGTGGGCCAGATCTGATATCCTGCTGAAGAAAATCACTCCGGCATGTTTCCTTCTCCTTCTCTTTCGTCAGTTTTTTCCAGCTCTACTGGATGGCTCCCCAAAGCATAAAACAAATACTTACTACATACATTAAGAACTAATATACAATGATAACAACTCTAAACAAGCAAACAAGCCAGCCTATCTCTGGTTAAAGAGAGAAAACCTTTCTCTTATCTGACTTCTTATACTGTTCCATTGTCTTTGTCATTTTCTTGCCCAAATTTTTGGAAATGTTGTTAATATATTTGTTCTTCAAATTTTCCCTACCTTTTTCTTATACCTCTACTGAAAGAGTTTTGCCTCTGTGCTGCAGCAAAATTGTGCTTCTCAAAGCATCAGTGTGCTTACCTTGCAAAATCCAGTGGTCACATCTCAGTATTACTTTTTCTTGTCCTCTCATTGCCAACTGATGTAGGGATTCCTCCCTGTTCTTGCAAGTTAAGTCTTTATTGCTTGCAGGGTATAACTCTCGCCTTTGAGCCTTCTGTTTGTGTTAGTTGCTTACTCTTTGTTGGTTTCTCATCATCTCTCAAAACTCTACCCGTTAGAACACCCCAGGACTCCCACTTCTGCTTCTGATCTACACTCACTCCATGCTCATCTCATTCAATCTCACAGCTTTAAATTTCATGTATATGCTGATGAATCAATCCCGAATGCATATCTAACACTAATCTTGTCCCTGGATTCCAGACCTTATATCAACTACCTACGGGACATATCTATATGAATGTCTGTCAGATGTCAGAATATTTAAATAAATAGTTAAAATTGACCCATTAGGAAGTCCCCCTGAAACAATGACCTCGTCCCCCATAAGCACATCCAAGTTAGTGGCAGCTTCATTTTTCAAGTACCCAGTCTGGAAATTGTGGTATTCTCTTTTTCTTTCTCCTTCTCTTCCATGCAGCATCCGTGGATCAATAGCATCTACCTTTCCCCAAGCCACCCTTGTCCTTTGCTTGGATGATCTCTGTTTATAGTTGCCTTTTGATTGCCATCTCCTCATTCCTCCTTATGTTCCTCAGCTGCCTATCCTCAACAGTCAGAGTCATCCTGGTAAAGGAATAGTCAGATCTTGGCATTCTTCTGTCCACACCCTCTCAATGGCTTCCTTTCTTGTGCAGAGAAAAAGCCAAAGGCCCTCCAGTGGCTTATAAAGATCTCCATGATCTGACACCGCTGCTCTTTTCCTGGTTGCTTCTCTAGCCTCATCTATCACATGCACCCTAGAACTCAGTTGTACCACTTTCGCCTCCTTGCTATTTGCAGAGCCCTTGGACTCACTGCTTTGCCCAGAATGCTATTCCTTATCTACATGCATGTCCAGTTCTTGTACTTCCTTCTGGACGCAAATGACTCAAAAAGTCATTCTCATTGAGGCCATCTCTGATTAGCTTATTTAATACAGCAACCTATTTCCTGGTTTTCAACCCGACACTCCCCGTTATCCTTGCCTGTACTTTTTTTTTCCTCTCAGCACCTAACTTCCAACACAATGTATTTACTTAACAAATTTTCTGCCCTCTCTCCCTCCTCTGGAATGTAAGTTGCCTGAGAGCAGTGGAGAGTCATTCTGAGCAGAAAGGTGCCGAAGGAAAGTCACCGCAGGGGATATGGGAGGTTATGTATGAATCCCTGCTGGGTTGCACTGAAGCTGTGCAAAGTCAGGCAAATGGCCGATGGGATCTTAGTCTCCTCTTCTTACAGGTGAACGGTAAAATAATGAGGATTATTTCCAGAAATGACATCCTATGCATGGTCAGAGCAGAGTCTGGAAGAAACCAATAGGATTTGTCTAGTTTGAATAAGTGGGGATGGATGGAGAGGGCTGCCTAGGAATCTGGAGGGGACAGAATGGTTGGAGCTGATATTAGCAATGGGTGAAGCAAGGAGATCCCTAAAGCATGGACATAGAAATAAGGTCTTACTAAAGTTTTCCAGCGGTGGCTTTTGCTTACCCCTGCAAGATGGGATTATCAACCGTCCATGTTGGATGCAACTGCTCAACTACCTTCTCCTCCCCAGGACCACATGTTTTGTCGAACTGCAATCCTTGCCCAGGAAAATTTCTCTGCCCACACCTAAATGAGATCAGGTCAGAATTATGGAACAATAGGGGCAATGATGGCCCTAAGGACAAACTGAGAGCAAGAGGGAGAAATAAAAAATGAGTTCCTGCCTCCTATTAATGCTAATTTTGCACAGCAAGTTCCTGAGCAGGTTTCATTGGTTTGCTTGTTTGCAGCAAAGAATTTGGTGAGAAAATCTTCATGGGGAGATAAATACCTGTAAAAAGCTGTGTACAGTTTCCCAGGGAGAAGACTTGTGTGGAAGCCCTTATTTCACAAAGAAGAAAGAGAGGGGTATTTTATGTGCATTGTGGGAGAATTAGGGAGACCTGACTAATCTCTCCTGAGAGAAAACCTCAGGCGGCGGGGAGGGAGTGGGGGGTCTGCTCTCTGTGTGAATTTTTTTAAGCTATTTCCAGATGGGATCCTTTTATTCTTACCTGCAGTCCTCTGCTGATGTGACTTTGTTTCCTGATTTCTTGCAGATGGACCAGCAGCTGCGACTCAGTTATAACTTCTCTCCAGAAGTGGAATTCAAGGTTATAAGGTCACTCACCCTGGGCAAAGTCACAGGTATTTTGTTCTAGTTCATACCTTTCCAGTGGGCTTTATTAAAATAAGTAAACACATAATTTTCATTAGGGTGATTAAGGATTCAAATCTGGAGCCTTTTGATCCCATAATATCTGAGATCTGAAACCAGGACTTTTTTTTTTTTTTTTAAGATGGAGTCTTACTCTGTTTCGATCTCAGCTCACCGTAACCTCCTCCTCCTGGGTTCAAATAATTCTCCTGCTTCAGTCTCTGGAGTAGCTGGGACTACAGGCATGTGCCACCATGCCCAGATATTTTGTGTGTGTGTGTGTATTTTTAGTAGAGATAGGGTTTCACCGTGTTAGCCAGAATAGTCTTGATCTCCTGACCTTGTGATCTGCCCACCTCAGCCTCCCAAAAGTGTTGGGATTGCAGACATGAGCCACCACACTCAGCCTGAAACCAAGATTTCTTCTTACAAAATGTCAGAATGTGTCTATGGCAGAAATAGGCACTGCATTTCTATCCACTTTATAACAATTTGCAAGAGGTAAAATATTAAAGTAATTAAGCAGAATACTCATTTACTTAATTTTAAAATATATTTTTAAATTTTATTTAATTTTAACTTAAATGTATGAGTACATAAGGATTTGAATAACTCAATAATTGATCAAAAATATTAAAGGCATTGTAATTTCCTACTATGATAGAGAATTTTCTTTTTTTCTACTGGAAGTTCTGTGAATTTCACTTTATATATGATGAGAGTATTCATTACATGCATGCAAGATTGAAATTTTTATATCTACTTGATGAAGTGAACATTTTATCACGCTTAATGATCTTTTTAAACTTTAGTAATGTCTTTTTATGCTTAAATTTGTTTTGCCTATTATTAATATGCCGATTACAGCTTCACTTAACTTAGTATTTGCCTGGCCTCGTTGCCCATTCATTTTTCTTTCAGTGGTTCTTTTTTTTTTAAGCTTTATAGATGATCTTGTGAAGGACACTGCTAAATTTTATTTTACATACACAATCTGTCCCTCCATGTTTTTTCGTAAAGGCAAATGTAGGTCCTTTTACATTGTGGGTCTCCTTGTACTCAGACTTGTTTCTGCCAGCCTATTTTTTATGTATCCAACTTTTCCTGTGATTCTACCGTTTTCTTTCTAACTCTCTCTATCGCAGTCCAGTGCAGAAAACATGAATAACTCTAGGCATTTTAAGCAGAAACACATTTAACACAGTAAGTTAGTTGCTGACGAAATTGTTGCAGCACTTACAGTGTAGGTTCTTGAGGTCTTTTGCAATGACTTCCCTGTGCCCCATACTGTATGCAAATTCACAAGTAGAAGGAGGAGGTCTCTGAAAAATGGCTGTGGAGGGGCATCATGGTCCCCTGCTTTTGCTTGCCAGTAGAAAGAGCTGAAAAGGCAGAAAAATGACTCCTGCTACAGACTTCCAGCTTCATAAAGGGTTTATAATTTCCAGATGTAGTGTTGATCCAGAAACCTAGCTGCAGTAGGGTCAAAAAATGTCCATTTGAGTTTCTCAAATGGCAATTGGAAGAACACTGATCAACACTGATCCTAGATTGAGTTATTTATTTCTGATTCCATTTCGCCTCCTAATAATAATCATCGTTATATTTTTACATACTGCTTTTTTATTTATTAATACAGACACAGTTTATATATTCCTCATTTCTTCCTTTATCTCAGACTTTTCTATTTTCTGCCAGATTTTATTTTCTTCTTTTGAAGTAAATTCTTTTGAATTCTTTTCTGTTTAAGGGTCTCTTCATTATATATATAATATATATATTATATATATACATATCTGAACAAAAGGTTTTTATTTTACCTTTAATCTTGGAAGATAATTTTGTTAGATCTTCAATTAAATGTTGAAGAATATTTTCTATCAGATGTTGAGAAATGGGTCAGAGGTGTGATGGAGCCAATGGCACCCGCCCATAAGAGCCAGGTATACATGTCTCTCCCCACCTCTGCAACCTTCACTGGAGGCAGGATGGCAGCTTGAAATCAGCTGTATTAGGAGAGTTTACACTGTGGATGTCAGAAATGCTCAAAGCCAAGGCTTTTCCTATGTCTTCCTCCTGAAGAACCAGTTTCAAAGCCTCCCTGGCACATCAGTGTCCTCTTGTTTTCTGGCTTCCCTGCTTGCTCCTGAGAAGTCAGCTGTCCATCTGTCCTGCTTTTAAAGGTGCTCTGACCACTCCCATGCCTACCACCTACAAGTTGATTTAAAGTCATCTCTTTTTCTTTGGTGTTTTGCAGTTTTGTCATCAGGTGTCTGCTTGTGGATTTCTTTAAAAATTATCTTACTTGATATTTTTATGTTTCCTGTTCATTAGTTCATATGTATCTATATATCCAATTCATATTTATCATTCATATGTGTCTGTTATCAGTTCTTAAAAACTCTCAATGTATCAACTCTTACTTCCTCCTATTCTATCTACTCAAAATCTTTTAGATTTTAATTATATGAACTTAGACTTGCTAATTCCATCATCCTATTTCTTATCCTCTTTTTATAATTTGTACTCTTTGATATAACATGTTGCATTCTGGGCAATTAATTTGGCTTTATCATCACATTCGCTGGTCCTCTCTTTGTGTCTAATCATATTCAATGAATCGTTTCTTATTGATTTTATATTTCATTTCTAAAAATAATATTTTGTTATTTTGAAAGCATGCCTATTAATAAAGATAATCTGTTGTCTCTGTTCTTTTGTTTGTTTCCACCTTTTTATGCCTTCAGGCACTTCGTTAATAGTTATTGAACATTTTGTCTGTGATAATCCCAACATCTGAAGTCTGTAAGGGTCCCAGTCTGTTACTTGCTGTTTTCTAAGGTTTTCCTGCAGTAGTTTGTTTCCTTGTGCTGTGTGTGTGTGTGTGTGTGTGTGTGCACGTGTGTGTGTTCATATTGATTGTAATTAATTTGCGACAATTCTAAAGATTAAAAATCAAGGCACTTTCCTCAAAATAAGGTATTTTTTTTTTTTTTACTTTACCAGGTGCAAGGAGGTACTACAAATTTAGGAAAATTTTAATTTCTCACCTTTTTACTGAACAGAGAAGAGATATAAATTTGAGCTCCCTACCTGAATGAGATCAGTCTTCTGGTTAGAGTCTTAGCAGAAATGTTGATACTATTAAATCAGTAACCAAATTATAACACCCTTGGAAAGGGGGAAAATTTGGGTTTACTGACTACAAAGCCAAGACCTTTTTCATGGCACCTGCTTTGTGTAATGGAAGCTCCAATAACATCCTCTTGTTAAAAAAAGAAAAAAAAAAATCTTTGTTAAATCTTACCACCATGTGTAGCATTCATATGACCCTTGATACTTTTAGCTAAGCCGACAATAATACTGGGGAATCAAAGTGTTAAAGCAAGGTACTTCAGATGACTTGTTATTTTATTTCTGGTGCTTTGTAATTATCAGGTAAAAAAGAACTATATTAAGATTGAGGAATAATACTGTATCAGTCCATTTTTGCATTGCCATAAATACTTGAGATTGGGTCATTTATAAAGAAAAGAGGTTTAATTCACTTACGATTCTACAAGCTGTACAAGAAGCATGATGCTGGCATCTGCTCACCTTCTGGGAAGCCTCAGGAATCTTACAGTCATGGCAGAAGGCGAAGGAGGAGCAGGTATGTCACATGATCAGAGCAGGATGAAGACAGAGGGGGAAGATGCTACACACTTTTAAACAATTTTATCTCACCAACTCACTCATTATGGCAAAGACATCAGCAAGAGGATGGTACTAAACCATTCACAAGAAATCTTCCATCATGAGCCAATCACTAACCACCAGGTCCTACCTATGACATTAAAGATTGCAATTCAACATGAGATTTGAGTGAGGACACAGATACAAACCATATCAAATAGCCAATAAAATATCTTCATTGTTCTAAGGATGGGAGACATCTGCCTACTGGGCTTTCTTCCCATTTGAACTGCTATTGAACAGATGGGAGGATTTGGACCAACACTGAACTTCAACACTATGGTCTATGAAAGGTCCTAGCAGAAGGTAAAGGGAGACAATATGAACATCCAGGCTTATTATTAAGAAACGACACTAATCCTAGGGGACCTTTGGAACAAGGAAACCAAACCCCATTCATCAGAAAGAGAGTAGAGTAGGGATAGAGGAAACAGGAAGAGATGGTATTAAAATGGATACATGGAATTTATGCAACTGAACTTCACAATTTAAAAAAAGATTACTTTGTATGACATTTTTAACTGTAAATCAAAGACTAGGAAGCATTTTTCATGGTAGATATGAAAAGAAAAATATATGTAGTAAATCTAGTATGTCAGTTTTCTTCAGTACCACTAATATCATTTCATTGCAAAGCAAAAGCAAGTTTGTTCATTTTCCTTTTGTACAAAAAGGACAAATTCCTTATTAAAGAGGACAGTGGTTTAGTATATCCTCTATACCACCCATGGTGCTACAGATACTGTGATGAATAAATCAGTTTTGTTTGTTTGTTTCCTGAAGGTTTGCATGATGTAGATACTGGCCCACGAAAAATAGCAGATATAATTGTCTACATTAAAACTTCACTGTTGGTTCTCTCAGAATGTTGATGCTCAAATCTGTTAAATCATGGGATATTGCAGTTAGTTCTTTGGTTTACTGTCATTTCTTAACGTTCAAGAGAGATTACGTGGTTGTGGCCTATTGCATCAGTGAATTTAAGATAAATAACATTAAAGAGAGAAAAAGCACATATTGAGGGAAGTAACCCATTTGGAAGAGATAATGTTTCTGGAAAATTACTTATTTTATTTGAAAGTATAGATGTGTATGCCTCAGATTCAAACACCGTGTGCTTTATTGCTGCTATTTCTAAGTCTCTGTCTAACTTGGCCATATCATAAGAGCATAGACAGCCATAGAGACTTACGAATTGAAAAACCTTGAAACTTCTAAAGAAAGCTCTGCCTTTTTTGCTTTTAATTTACTTTTT